GGTGAAGATCCAGCAGTGTTTATAAGAGATTTACGACAATGGTGTGAGGCTTCTCCCAATCATAACCCAAATGCAGGACATCAAAACCGAATTCGTATTGATGGGCTGTTTGAAGCTTGTTTAGAAGACTATGCTAAGGATTGGTATGAAAATGAGATTAAAGGTAAAAACTGGGAACTGCAGAATATTGGCGATAATACGGGTCTTGCAGATCTTGGCGCTATCAATGGATTAGCCAACAATAATGCGTTGCGTGCTATTAATGCCAATCAGTTTAGAGGCGGAGCTCTTCATATAAGGAATACTGTCCCAGCTGATAATAATGCAATTGCCATTCCATTAGTACCCGCTCACACTGTGTGGGATGAAGATTGGTCTATACCAGGTGGACGACCAACTGACTTGGCTCCAAATGCGCCAAATTCCAATGCAGGAGGTAATACTATAGCTGCTGGAATTCGTATCGGGCAGAAAATATATCACTTTTTGCATGATTTTCCCACAGTTACGTCTGAAAAAACTAAAATCGCGTTTCAGTCTCTCTTTCAGGGTACTGATACTGTAGGTCGTTTTTATGCCAAGCTAAGAAGAATGGTTAAACTCGCTTACCCAATGCTTCCGACAGTAAATCAAGACGAATTAGTCAGACAGCAATTTTTTCAGGGTCTTACACATGACAATCAAATGGAAGCTAGACGAATCGGTTTAGAAACACCTATTTCTGGTTTAATAAAAAAATTAGAAGAGATCGAGAGATATAAAACTCATCAATTAGCTGGGCCTATCTATCAGGCTCCAGTAACTACTTCTCAAGCTATTACTTCTGCTGAGATCGAAAAGTTAAGTTCGAAAATAGCATCCTTAGAAGAAAAATTATCACAGCCTACTCAAATACACCCTCAAATTCCTCAAAAGAATGAGGCGTTAGAGCACCTATATATACTTGCACAGCGCTTAGGGTGCCCACAGGAAATGCTTAATCAAAAAAACGCCTCAACACTAAATGGCTATGTTACTGAAGAGTTAACACGAAGATTAGGCGTTGTTGAAGCCTATATGGCTAAAGTCTCTGCCGTGCGGCCTAAAAAAGAACCTTTCCCCGATCCACAAATTTATTTGTCCAGAAAATCGTCAAAACATCGATGCTTAAACTGCGGTAAGACTGGACATAATTCTCGCAACTGTAAAAAGAAGAAAAATAA